AAGCCTAAACATACTGGCTGACTATGCAACCACCACCAATAATAAATTGGAGAATACACAGGAAAAAAAGGATAGCAATAGGAGTATCTGTTTCAGATAGATAGATAGATAGATAGATAGATAGATAGATAGATAGATAGATAGATGAACAAACACACATTCATACATACATACATACATACATACATACATACATACATACATACTCTGGGCTTGTATTCCCTTTATTTTCCAGCCTTTAGTTTTAAAATTTGACCAAAGCCTCAAGCCTATTAAGACACCATTAAGAACAATAATGAATAAAAAGCCAATGAGATTATATACTGAACTTTAACTGGATTCTTCTGCACTAGCTTTTTGCACAGATGACACAAAGACTGAACTGAACATTTGCTGGAGCAATAACAATTTGTTACAGAAAATTAAGACCAACTGAATTGATGTCTCTTCTTGAAACCCTTTCTAGCAACGTCCTTGATCGAAATTTCCTTCTTGACATCACAACCATTGCTCTCAAAATTGGTAGCTGCTATTAATATATAATTTCCTAACAGGAACAGAAAAAAGTAATAAAGGAATTGGCAGCTGGTACCATATTTTAATACATATAATGTGGGCTAGGATCCTCAGGAATAGTCAGGGAGACTAAGCAAATTTCTTGTTAATCTTAGGGTGGAACTAAAATTTATGTGGAAATAAAGAATTGACTGGTGCCAAAATCAAGAGTGGTTATAAAGTTTGAGGTAAAATATACATGACTTGAATCTAAAGCTACAGTGACAATTGGAGCAGGCACAAGAATTAATAGTATAAATCAGTAGGATGGAGTTAACTTCAGAATGGATTTAGCTATACTATGATTAATCTATTAGATTTGATTTACAAAAGCAATGCTATTTGAGACAAATAGGGGACCTATGCAGGACAAAGAATTGAGGGCTATCCAAGGGATAGTTCAACCATATGATCTATCTATGCTTTGGGATTGGTCCAGTTTGTTGCCCAAAATCTAAATTGGCCAATTTACAGATACCAAATCATGATAGTCAGCTCTGTGATTACTTGGCAGTCAGTATTTTCATGTAGAAGCTGGACTGGGGAATCATTGATTGATTGATTGATTGCTGGACTAGGAGTGGGAAGACCCAGATACTACTCCTCCCTTAGGCATGGAAACTGGCTGGGTGACTTTAACCTTTCTTCACTCTTCACTGTAAACAAGGAAGCTGAAAAACATCTACCTACCTACCAGGTTGTAATCCATAACCATCAAACGCAGAGGCCTTAATCCTGCAGTGGTATGTGTATATGTATGTATATACATACATGCACATATGCAGGGTGTAGTAAAAGTCAGGCCCCATAGACAATTTATTATATAAATTACATTAAATGTTCAATTGTTTACCATTTTCTTCTAAACACGTCCTTACTCATCAGATGCATGACCTTTGAATGGTACAGTAATATTTCCTGTAAAAAAAAAAGTATTGATAAAAGTAATAAAACACTGTGATTGGCCTATGGGGCCTGACTTTTGCTACACCCTGGAGTAAGAGAGAGAGATGACTTGTACCAATCAAAAACAAAACAGTACAATTCTTGACCAATTTGTAGGATGCTAACTGGGAGTGTACCAATCTAGGTCCTGGAGAATGGCTGTTCCAAAGAATAGGAACCATCACTGAGAAACACGAGGGGGTGGCAGTTCTCCCCTCCCTTCCTGAGATGCACGTATTGGACATGTTGATTCTAGTTGGAGAAGGTGATCCTGAAGTTACCTGAAAGCCAAGTCATTTAGAGCTTGATTAAAATCTTGGAACCCGATGCAGGGCTTGTAATACTGATATTACTGTACATGACTAGTGTGACTTTCATCCTATAAACTGGTTGCTGTATTCCGAACCCTAATTAATCCATGAAGGAAAGATAGCTCTAAGATTAATCTGCTTAACTGCATTATGGCATAAAAAGGGCAACATGACTGTACTTTTGTTTTATTGTATAACATTCATTTGTAGGAACCAATTACTTTTTATGTCACTATTCCAGTTTGCTTAATGCGTAGGATATTGCTGAGAGGAGGAAAGGTCAGTATCTGTTGTATCTTTTACTGGGCAGAGAAATTTCAACATGTTGCCGGTGGAAGCAAGGACCCAGGAGTCTAGTGATCCAAAATAAACGGCATAGGGGCGGCCTTGCTATAGTGCTGACACCATGAAGACTTCGAGTAAGGCAGGTTTAGTAGCTGAAAGAGAAAACATTAACAATTATCTTCATTTGCTTGGATTTTTTTCTCTGATTACGTGTTCAGCTGGACTTTTAAGACCGCGCCTCGTTATTCTGAGGTCAGTGCGATCCCGCTCTGTATACTGTGGAAGAAGCTCATTTGAGAGTTGTCTCCCCAAAAAGAGCAATAAAGCTCAACTGATCCTTGTTAGTAGCAATAGGCTAATTCCATTGGGTTTCTAAGTAGGTATGTACAGTATAGAAAATAAGGTGCATTGGGTCGGATACTGTAAGCTATAGTTTTGTTTAATAAAGAGTAAATATTGAAATGAATCTCGGTTTCTTTCTTCCTCGGCTTAATTTCCGTCGCAGCTCCAAAAGGAAGATTATGCTTTTGTACTGGAATTCACACAGTCGGGCTAAAATCGAAGTAACATAAAAAAAACCCGTTAAAGATATTTCTTCACACGAGTTAAAATAGGTTCTGTTAGTTCGGCTAGCAGATTTTGTTTCGGCAGAAAGACCGCCCATGCTGGTGCCCGTGCGCCTGGGTTGAATTTCGGCCTTGAATTTCTCCATTGATTCTAATGAGCGAATTTTGCTTCCGCTCCAAGAGGTAGGTAAATATGGTGCTGTTTATTTTTCTTTTTTTCTTGGAAATTGCCAACGCCGAGAAGGGAAGTGTCCCTCCTGCAATTTTGTATCTTTAAATTTCAGACTCTCGCTTTCCTTACAGTCGCGATGACGTCAGCGCGCCGAGCGCTCGCGCTGTCGTTGCTAGGGTGACGTCAGTGCTCGCGGCGACGCCTGAACGCCAGGCCGGCGGAGGGGGGTCCTGCTCCAGTGCTCCAGCCGGTAAGTCTGGCGGCGAAGGGGCTCGGAACGGGCGTTTGCTCGGCGTTCCCCCACGCGGTTCCTTGCTTCTCGGGCCGCGCGCAGGCGGGAACAGCCTTGGCCGTTAATACCGGTTCGCCGCTCCCTGCCCGGCTACCCCGCGGCCCTGAGCATTTTTTAGCCGCTCGGTGAGGTTATTGCAAGGCAGTCAGAGGGCAAGTGATGTGTATTCCGAGCGGGGCGAATGGGGCGTCGCGAACTGTTCTCTGTGGCTTCGCATCGAGATGTGCAGCGGGTTTCGCGCATGCTTTTCCTGGGGGTGCAAGTGGCAGTGGGGCTTCGTTGATTCCATAATATCGAAACCGTAGGCAATTCGTACGTCTGGAATCGAGGTCTCGGTTAGAAGGGGGCCTTGTGTTTAGTTGACGCCCTTTACGTGCATGGGCCTCTAGCCTACCCTTTGGAATGTAAACTGCATTTTCAGTTATTATTTTTTGAATTTGTATACAGCTCTTTGTAAAATAAAATCAAAGAAGAAAGAAAACAGCAATATAAGGCCCTTCACTTGCCAGTTAAATTTAGCAGAATATAATTACACCCCCCAAATCACCTTAGGAAAAATACTCTAAATAAATTAAGTAGTTACTGACAGTTCAGTGATGTTGAAGTTACATTGCCCTTGTCCAAAAAAATCTCTGATCAGTCTTATGAAAGGTAATGATTAGCTTCTTAGACTGAAACCCTTACCCACCTCATGTAACTCAGTTGGGTTTCTAAATAGATATGTACAGTATAGTAACACACTGTTAATGCTGTTTGTATTGTATATGGTACACTGCGGTCTTTATCTGTTATTTTCTTTTTAAAAATTATGCTAAAGTTTGTGCCAATTGTACTGATTGCAGTTTGATGTAATGCCACTCAACCATGACACTCACTGGCATAAGCATGTGGTGCAAAATGCAATGATGAAAAAGTGACAAAATGTACATTGAAATGTCATAATGCAAACTCCAGCCTTTCAAATTTGTTTCCTGATGTCAGCTGTCATGGGGTTTGCATTGTGACATCACAACACACGTTTCAGTCCTTTACTCATGACAAATGAGGGTAGCTCTTCCAAACAGTTGAAAATATACGGTATCTAAAAGGGAAGTTCCTTTAGGTAGAACTGTTTGAACGGATTCTTCTACTTTCTGCTTTTTAAAAACACATCAGCCTAATCAATCTCATAGGATAGTTATGAGAACAAATTAGAGGGGGACCACATGTAATATCTTGAGTTCCCACATGAGAGTTTAGGAAATTTACCCAAAGCAATTTTTTTCCTACTAATTGTCCCTCATCTGTCTTTGACCAGAGATCCTAGTTTTGGGATGTAAATATGTGCAATATATACATTTGCTGTTTACTGTACAGAGACACAGGCAGTGCAAATCACATTTTCTTTTTTTAAGGCCATGCTATGTTATGCTCATTAATAGTAAGATTTATGCTAAGCTCTTATGCTCTATACAGAATAATTCTTGTATTTCCCTGCTATAGAAATAAGACATACAGAAAATATGCATGGAATAACTCCAGTCATGGTTCCCAGGCCCAAAGAACTGAATGCCACCCATGATGTTCTTGAATAATATAAAGTGAGAAAATTAAACAGTGGGCTCTTCAGAGACCAGATCAACAGGCCTGATTGTATGTATGTCTTCAAATGCACAACCTGTGGTTGTATTATAGGCTTGTAGGTAAAATCAGTAGATTTCACATCTATGAGATGGGCTCATTGAAGACCATTCTTCTATGCTAATTATTTATGTCTGTTTCATAGGAAAGCTTTCACACATCCCAGACTCAATGCTTTATCTTCCATGTTACTGAAAATAAGTTTTAGTATCATTCTTGTGCAGGACTGTCTATGTGCTTGCCTGGCAGGGAGATTTCACATGTGCTCCTGAGCTGCCCATTTTATTCATCCTGGCAGACAGATCTAATATCATCCCTTCTAACTAATAGCCATGATAGCTTGGAAAAGGAAACTAATATACTTATAGCTGATAAATATTCTTTAATCTCCAGAAGAATAGTGAAATTTTGCTTAGTCAACACTGCTATTCATCTTTAATAATCTAGCTACTTTATTTAAAATTTACATAGCCACCCATCTCATATATATGACTCTGGGTGGATTATGAACAATTAAAATAAATATAAAAACAACAAAAAAGGACAATATAACAATTTAAAAATGAGAAAAAACAATATAAAAGCATATAAAATCATATAATACATGAAACAGCTGAGGTAATCCCAATAATAAAAAAGGTCAGTATGGCCACTCTACCAGCTCCACCACACTCCCAGGTCCCCATGCCTATTGGTGAAAACACGTTTTCAGGGTCTTGCAGAAAGCCTGCAGGGTTGGGGGCAATCTGATCTCCAGCAGGATGATGTTCTACAGGGCGGTGCCATGGCAGAAAAGACACTTTCCCTGGGTCTCTCACCAAATGACACTCCCTGGCTGATGGGGCCTGCAACATGCCCCTCCTGCTGGACCTGATGAGATGGGTAGATGTAATTGGGGAGAGGCAGTCCCTGAAGTAACCCAGTACCATGGCATGTAGGGCTTTATAGGCACCTAACCCAGTACCATTACCAGCACCTTGAATTGAACTTGGAAGAAAACTGGCAGCCAACTCAGCTTGTGAAGCAGAAGTGTAACACATGTAGATCATGGAGCACACATAACTACCCATGGGGCCACATTTTGAACCAGCTGAAGCTTCCAAATATTCTTCAAGGGCAGCCTCATGTAGAGTGTGTTGCAGTAATTCATTCAAGAAGTGACTAAAGCATGAGTGACCATGATTAAATTTGTTAATGTTTTGCACTTAAATTTAGTTCTTTATTTTTTAATCCATATATTTAAATATTCTTGGTTTTTTACTGTTAATAATAATAATAATAATAATAATAATAATAATAATAGATAGGTGGACAAACATGCCAAATCCAGTATAAACATCTGGCTGACTGTGTGACCAACTATAATGTATTAAACTTGCATGCTGCTGACTCTCAACAACTCTGGGTAGCTCACATCAATCAAAGAAATTACAATAAAATCAGTAAAACATAAAAGATAAAGATAAAAGATGATAATGACTGTGAAAACAGTGAAATCAAATCTCAGTGGATGAACTCTTAAGTCTTTTACTTAGATGGTGACAGTGAGATTTTAAACTTATAAAAATCATGCCACTTCTTGCCAAATAGAACTGTTTTCTCCATTAACACAAGTGTAATTTAGTCAATAAATGGAATAAGGAATCCATGGTTCAGGATGGATTCCACCCCATGATGGATCCACCCCATGTCAGCTGTGATACTCGCTTCTATTAGCTGTGATATAATTTGCCACCTGTTGAATCAATTCTAAGCCTCTATTTAAAAGTTGGAAATCTGTGAGTAGCAAGGCTTTTCTGAGTAATCATTGAATCCCAGGAGCAGGGATCCATAAGCTAGAATGTACTGTCAGAATTGTATGCTTTATTTTCTAGGGGCTGTTCTGCTTGATTTCTCTGAAAGCTTGATGGTTTCTGTTAATTGTCTCTAGTAATGTTTGTCTTTGAAATGCGTTGTATTGGGCAATGCAAACAGTTGTAGTGCTTGTTTGTTTCCTTAACTCTTTCAGCCTCAGGTCCTAGTCTCCCCATAGCATTTTAGAAGAAATTGGTGTTTAAGACTTTAGTTAGGATTTTACTATCATTCAGGGCCTTATTTCATCCACTTGCAATTGTTTTAGGCATCTGACTCCCTAAAAATAAAAGGAAATTTTACTCTTTCTTATTTTTAATAAATTTGATTTTTATATTTTGTGTTTTTGTTGTAACTACTCAAAGAAGGAAGAGAGGACTGTTTTTCTCTGGCCACATTCCTCAAAGCTCCAATGGCTAGGAGGTGAAGCTAGAGTTTAATTTTCTTTTTTCATCATTATTTTTATCATTGTGATTATGCCCAATTTCCTGAGAAGTATTCAGGAAGACAGGGCCAGCGTGTGGCATGTGTAAAACCTAGGGGTCCTGTGGGGACAGAGGGGTGAGGCCTCCCTTCTGTAATATGCATCTGAAGTTATACAATAATACATTTGTTAATTGTAAAGGTACTGCAAGGCCTAAGTAAGCTTTTCTGAGAACTGTAACAAAGAAAACAGAGTCAAGAAAACAAAAATGAAAGCAAAAGTCTAAGTCTTAGTAATATAGAAAGAGAACAAAATACAACTTTATAGCTGCTCTTTTAAACTGTTCTTGTTAATCTTGTTAATTAACTATTCAGTTAATCATTTTCTGAGAACTGTTATTAAAAAAAAAGGAGAATCAAGAAAACAAAGATGAAAGCCAAAGAGTAACTCTTACTAGTATTGAAAGAGAACAAAATAGTTGAGATGTGGAATGTTTATTTGAATGGGATGGGTTATTATTTGGGGTGGTTATCTTTGGAATGGTTGGCATTTGGAAAGGGATGTGTACTGGAGTTTGTTGTTGTTTTTTAAAGGAGAAATTGTATTTTTTTGTTATGTAAAACTTTAGATCTGGTTTGCTTATACTTTTTTATACCTTTTAAATGGGGTTTTGCTTACAGTTAAGAGTCAAGGCATGGAAAGTTGAGTTTTATATTTGTTAATTAATTTTAATATTTTAGAGCTCTGGACTTTTTGCTGAAAATTGGATAAGGAGAAGATGCTACTTATTTGATTTGTTTATTATTAAGAGATGGGGTTTGGGATGAAGAGTTTTATATTTTTTAATTAAGGGGGTAAAGTTATGAAATTGTTTATTACTTGTCATGATGAGGGTGGGAAGTCACTTTCTTAAAAGGGGGGATTATTTTTGTATTATTTTTGTATTCTTTTCTTTTTTAAACTTTGTATTATCTCCTACTGTTCTTTTTAAAATCTTAATAAAATTATTGAAAAAAAAAGAGAACAAAATACAACTTTATGGCTGCTCTTGTAAACTGTTCTT